GAGCAAGTCCAATTTTTGGCACCAAATGTCAGTTACGCGGTTTTATGCTTTAAACGACGATATGTATATACATAAAAAAAAGTTTCTTCAACCAAATTCTGAGATCGGATGTTTCTCAATAAAATTATTAAATAGGGCGTTCTTCAGTCAAATTCTGAAGTAGGGCGTTCTTCAAAAGTTTTCTGAGATAGGGCGTTTTCGAACTGGCTGCCAAGATAGGTCGATCTTCCACTCAGGTATGGATATATGGTATATGTGCGGTGACCATATTTCCGTGGCCACATTTCAGATTTTTAAGGCATCGAATCCGAACATACAATTTTGTTTTTACAATAAAAAGACTAACATCTTTCCAAACAGTTTTATTTAAAACAAAACAAAGAGAAAAGAGCTTGAAAAAATGATCGCAAACACACAATAGGTGTGTTCGTTTAAAATCTCCAACAGAAACCAACCAACTGCCGAATTCCGGCGAAATGTCATCTGTTCTCTCACAAGAGAGAAATATCCAAAATAGTACGCGAACAGAAAATTTGCAGAAACTTGCAAGTTAGACGAACAGCTGATATAATTTTTGTTTACATTCAAAAGTTTAAAATTTAAAACGTTCGAAAAGTCATCACAAAGTGTTATACTGACACAGTTTATTAATTAAACAAATAACTATTTATTTCTTACAAGTTTAATTAGACGCATTTTGTAATTTTTAACTTCCAAACCATCTAGTTCAATTTTGTGATTTGCGTAAATGCCAACCAGCTGTTTTTGATCAGCTGTTTTCCTGTTGGCAAAAATTTTTCCAGCAGAAACCAGCAGCTTCCCCTCAAAATGAAATGTCACTTTGCTCTCTCAATTTCCCCTACTTTGCCAGTTTTTTGCGTACGCGAACTTGTAAGTTTTGGTTAAACATGAACAATTAACAGCTACGCGAACGCACCTAATATGTGGTACATATACATATATAGTCTGTTCCAATAGCAGTCCGGTTCACAGGATTTAGTCAGAACTTACAGGAAGTCGTTCCTATTGACATAAAACCTGTAAGTGGGAACACATTTGAGAGAGTAACTGAGCAACTGTTCCTAGTCAGAAGTTACAGGATTTAGTCCGGAGTTTTTTTTCCTGTAAGTTCATGAAAAGTGTCAAACGATCAGCTGATTTACATGTGCAAACAAAAACAGAAAGCGGTGAAAGCAAAGAACCTTATATTTGTTAAAAAATGGAAGTAAACAACGAAATATTGGAATATGTATAGATTTTAATTTAGTACCAATGACATGCAAACAAACCGTCTGACGTTTTTACAGGAAATAGTGCTTTTTGCGTTCCTATGCACTTCTGCATCTGTTCTCCTTTTACTCTCATTTGAGAGCGTAAAATTGTAGTTTGACAGTTCCACAGGTTTTAGTCCGAAGTTCAAAGGAACAGACTAATATATTGTGGCGAGAATGTAAATATGGAAAAGGCGTTTTTGCAAGATTTGGCTACTTTGTTTAAAAAATTTATATTATTTTTTTATGAAAATATAGCTTACTATCTAAAAAACATTTAAACCAAAATTTCAAACTTTGAAGAACGTTTTTGAAAATTCGACGAATTTTAGCAAATGTTGATCAAAATGCAGTTTTGTAGTCCATTAAATATTAGTATAACAAAGTGCAACATCGCAAAAATATAGAAAAAAGGTTTTTTCTTAACAGCGGTCGTCCCTCGGCAGGCAATGGCAAACCTCCGAGTGTATTTCTGCCATGAAAAACAGCTTCTCATAAAAATACAATCGCCGTTCGGAGTCGGCGTAAAACTGTAGGTCCCTCCACTTTGTGTGACAACATCAAGGCGCACGCCACAAATCGGAGGAGAAGCTCGGCCAAACACTAACATATGTGTAAGCGCCAATCTATTATTATTATTATTATTATAACAAAGTGCAAGTTTCAAGCAGCTTACCGTTGATTTTTTGCAATTTTTTGTTCGAGCATTTTCTTCCCTAAAAAGTATGTTCAACAATTTTTTTTGTGTGGAGTGAGCAACACCTTCCACAAAATTTTTTTACCAAAACTCAATGTCTAAGGCACTTAAAATTTGCACTTTAAATTGAATGAAATTAAAAAATAGAGGGAACAATTTTCTCCTATGTTTCTTAACCAATTCGAATGGTTGTTGCTTTGTTGTAAAGGTGTTTAGTAGGAGTACACAAATATTTAATTTTTCCGGTACGCTAAAAATCGATCCCGTCCGATTGCTTCAAACTCAGAATATATAAGGAGAATAAACATAAGGAAAAATAAACCTGCCAAAATGGACAACATGTTCGAGTTATTTCAAGTTCACGTCCATGCAATATGCTTTTATATCTGATGCTTTCTTTTTTAATTCAACCGGACCTTTCTGAAAATGATTTTATTTTTAAACGAATTCTCATACATACATATCGAGCCCTTACCGCCAAAATAACGTAAGCAACATTTTTTCAAAATTTTCCTTTTGATGCAGAAATGCACCTAAATGCTCTAGGAATATTTCTGCATCCAAAAGAAAATTTTGAATTATTACATTATGTAACAGGATGTACATATGTATATGAATCTAACAACGTTAGTGAGGAAGATTATTACGTATATTTTGGAATGCTAATACACTTCAAAATCATCATCAACATGAAGCATTATTGCCACTATATTGATGACAAGCAAAATGAAAAGGTGTGTAAGAAAATGAAGTGGTCGAATTAGGACAACTGGGCGATACTAGTCTAATTAAAAGGCTCAAGATGTTGATGAAACTTTGTCGAAATTCGCTAATTTTTGTACAAAGTTTGAAGTTTTGACTTACATGGTGTGTGTTAGATAAAGAGCTACACTTTCATAAAAAATAATAAACATTAAATAATCGAAAGCGGAATAGCCAAAGAATGTTAAACTATCTCTTCCCTGTTTATATTTTCGCCACTGTATATACAGATTATCCATGATTTTTTTCGAGAGAATTATACTTTTTATAATTTCACTAAATTCAAGTTAGAATCGTTCCATTAAAAAAACTTTAATAATTATAAGGAATCTTTAAAAAAAATATTAGACAAGAATGATAGACTGTAATATAGCGAGAGTATCGCCTTGGTAGAATAAAACATAGCCAAAGATCATTCAAAATAAGGGTGCTGGCTATGTTTATGGCTCCCTTATATTCTATGTCCTTTGTGATAACGAAAGTGCTTCCACGTTTGTACGAAAAATGATTGGTGGCCCAGAGTACAGGCATACTTTTATTAAATGAATAAGCATTTTAAAAAATATTCAGCGGGACAATTTTCTTAAAACATACGTAAAACCAAAATCGCTACGTATGGTCACCGTGGTATGGTGTATGGAAAGATCCCTTTTCCCTTACATTAAACTTTTTAGTGTGGGAAGTAATGATGTTTTTCAAATCGCAATATGAGCTCTGTGGGAAGACAATACCTGTAATAATTGTATTATGATAGAATATTACACATTTTTGTTTTTCGTGCATTTCAATGCTTTATTGATAAATTCTCAATATACATAAGTGCACAATGAATTTTTTCATTTTTTTTGCATTTTCTTATATATAGTATTAAAATAAAAATAAATGTCTCGAAAGAATTAATCATATACTCGTATAACAAAATACTATATAAAAAATGTACAATTAATTATAAGACCAAAAGTGTAGTAAAACAGTTCCCAAATACCTATGTATGTATTTATGTGCATATATGTATATGCATGCGTGTAAGTTTGTATTTAGAATTTAATTTTATTAAAAATCTGTATATGTATATATTGATGCCTTTGACGTGTGTAATATGCACTGTGTATGTATGCATTTATTGGCGCAAATTTGCATTCAAGTAAGCTGACCGCAGAAAACGTACATAAGTACATACATACATATGTATTTCTGTATGTACATATGTACAAACGTTAATATTTATGTATGTATATATGTACATACATACATATGTATTACGTACTTGGTATCAAGGCTTGGTATTAATTTTTACTCGGCTTAAAATGTGGATAATGTGCTTAGTGGCGATGGCAAAATATATTTAAATACATACATGCATACATATTAGCATATATGTATGTACTTACTATTGTATTGTTATTTTTTTTTGTCTTTTTTAACTTAAAATTAAAATAATTACATATACGAAACTGAGAATGATAATATTTTTATTTGTTTCGCGACACAAACTACTATTTATGTGTGTACATAAGTACTAGTAAGTGGCTTGTAACAATTTTTGTGAAATTTTCTGGGATTGTTTTGCTATTTTTATTTGATTTTTGCGCTTCTCACAGTGAAGTAGTTGCAAAATATTTTTAATTTTTAAAATTTTTTTATGGTTGTTTTTGCGATATCATAATTTTCTAATTTTTTTCTGAGTTTTCTTGTGTAATATCCACATTGCGCTCGATGAATTCAAAATCTTTTAGTTGCAAGCAAGTTTTATTTATCTGTTACTTTTTTTAATAAATAAAATCTGATTTAGCCTTACAACCAATAAATTTATAACCTAAAGAGTAGATGGGAATATAACTTTTGAATTTTTGTTTAAAACTTAGAGATATATTAAAGTATTTTAAATAACAATTTTAGTATAATTCTACTTTGCATTTCTTCATTAAAAATTATAAATATTTAATTAATTTAATGCCTAAAGCAGTCCCATGATTTTCACAATTTATTCCAGTTAGGATTTTGAAACGATTCTAAAGTATGTATACATACATAGAATGTTTAGACCAAGATATACAAAATATGCAGGTTTTTTTCAATTTTTTAAATAATTTTTTGTGTTCGTTTCCTTTTTTGTTGCTTCTTCTCAATTAAAATATTGCTATTTGTCAGTTATCAGCATTCTTCACTGAAGGGAAGCGTATGGAGCGGCTGCACAACTGATAATTTAAAAAAAAATATATATATTATGCGGAATTCATGAAAAATTAATTAAGAGTTTGTTGCCATTAGTGTTGAAATTTATTTTATTTTTTTCTAAAAAATATGTTTTAAAAACAAATCGGCGTATATTCAAAAGTTGCTTCCGTTTCGAAAATATTAAATCTCAATATGTGACAATCAGCAGCTAACACTCGCTCCAACAGCTTCTTCTCCAATTTCCCTCTGTGAACTTGCGATGCAAATAAGTGCATATGAAATGTAAATCAGCCCTATCGCGAATTCCGTGTGAATAAACTGTTCACATAATTTAACTTGCAAAACGAAAACATAATGAGAATTGTTTTTGTGTTGCTTTATAATTTTTGGGAATATTTGTTCACGTGAAATCCGCGATAGGGCCGAATATGTATATCATAAAATGAAAACAAAAACTCGTAAGCACACACTTAAAAGTATGTACTTACACATACACATGTACATATAAACTAGATATATATAGTAAATCAACTATATATATATAAATCAACTATATATATATAAATCCTAACAACAACCATATTATAGTGTGTACATACATATGTATGTAGTTTAAAACGCTTTTATAGCTGCTTTCACGCTAATTTCTACACATTTAATGCAATATTTTTGAAACAATAACATCCTATGTTTTGATTTTGTCAACGTTTTACTAAGACGCGGCAACAATTTGATAATTCTAATAAACCTAAAACTAAAAACTATATATGTATGTATCTTTGCATGTATATGCAGGTCTTTAGCAGAATTTTAATGCAATGCAAATGTTTTTTTTTTTTTTTTTAATTTTACTTTGCTTTGAATGCAATAACACTTTTCATAGTTGACTATTTGTGTCTTATTTACTGCTAGTTTATCTTAAACAGTTATCCTACATCATCAGACAAAACGTTCATTATTCTCTCAGATCCTTAATAGGTAGTCTCTCCTTTACTTTTCATTGAATGATTTAAATATCCTTTGTATTTGTATTTGTTTTTTTTAATTTTTTTTTTTGGTTACTTATGTACATACATACAACATACGTACATAAGCAACTCAGATTTTAGTCTCAGCCGGTTCATGCATATTTTCTGTCATTGCTAATATGTAATTAACAACAACTTTATTCGAACATCGATGATGTTGGCACCACTTCCAACAGCAGCTGGAAGAACAGCGTCACTTTGTCTAAGACGAAAAATGTGGAAGAAAGCAAGTGATATTCACAGTTATTAGTTATTTATTAAAGCAAATGTTTTCATAAACTTACTCATAAATCTTGGTGTCATGCCTAATTTAACGAATGGCACATAGAATATCAAACCGCCCAGTATGAAGAGCAGCGCATATAGATATTCAATGCGTGGTGTATCGATAATTGGCGCCACCACTAGATATATAGAGATCACCAGCACCACAACAGGAATGATGATAGGCACTTTGTATGGCCTTGGATAGTTGGGTTTGGTGTATCGCATGACAATGAGCGCCAACATTGCGCCTCCATAAAAAATCCAAGCGGTAAAGCTGAAGAAGTCAATCAGTGAGCCGATGGTGCCGTACAAAACCATTGCGGCGGCGATAAGAGACTGGAAGAAAAATGTTCATACATACTTAGTTCATATTTATTATTAAAATTAAAGAATTCAAAGTTAAAATAAAGTCGACTCCATGGTGGAATTATACCAGGTGATTATTGTGGGTGGAATGATTCCTACTGGGTGGGTGGGACTTAAACTCCGATAACGGAAATCACGGGCCGAGGATTCGTAATAGAGGTGAAAATCGTTTTTGCCCTATCTGTACAATTTCCAGTTGTAGGTCGGAGGTCGGGCTCTTGTCCGTAAGTCCGTAGAGATCTCTTCTGATGTACCTAAGAGGTGGCTCTGCTTCCAGGAAGTGGATGAATTGTTTAGTGAGCATAAAATTATGTCCTACAAGTCCTCGTATACCAAATTCAGAACCAGCATTGTTTCTCTATCTTTACGTGGAGAAAGTAAGCTGGCTATCAAAAGTAAACCCTATAATTTTCGGGTGGTCGACGTTAATTCCCAACTGTGGTCTGAAATCTTTCGTCCAAGAGCTAAAAACGGTTACCGAGGATTTCGTCGCGGAAAAGGTTAGGCTGCTTGGTGTCAACCAAGCTAGATCGGGGAGATAACCGCTTAGTCTCGAACACACGCTATTAATACCATTTCCGTACGTCAAAATCGAGCAATCGTCAGCTTAGGAGATCTAGGAAATTACCTTTGATGGCTGGGCCAGAACAGGTCTTTATGATAGTTTCATCCGTTGCTTATGTGACACCTAATTGAGTGGAGTTCGGATGGAGTTTTCTCTGGCATACGCTGCTGAAATAGAAATCTTATCCGCGTTTGCCAGAATAAGAAGAGTGCGGAGCAACCCTGCTGTGAAGTGTTGCTCCGGGAATAAAACGATTGGAAGGGTTCGCCGACCTAAAAAGGATCAGATCACCGAAATAACAACCCTTTGTAGGGTAAAGTGCGAGTTATTCTGCTTCATAGATCCGGCAAACGCGTGAGTGATATGCTTCACAATTGTTTCCTTTTCCCGAAGATTCGACAAGTCATTCTTGGTACGGTATTTCAACGGCTTGTATATAAATAATTTCCTTAAGTAGGAGCGTACAAGCGACAAAAAGCAGAATGATATAACCTTGGATGGGAAGTATAAGGTTAGGCATTAGCTACAGCGTCTACGAATATCGGTCTTGAAACCCCGCTTTGATAGTAACTGAAATGAGGATTACTGATAGGTAAGTTTAACGTCTTTTCTTTTTTTGCCACGCTTCGAACGAAATTCTAATAGTACCGGGAAGACCGTAGTAACATTATTAACACTCCTTCCTGCTTGAAAGTCTTGGGTTGAAATTTCTATACGATATCGAGTTTAAAGCTAAATGTTATATGCAAAAACTAAACTTAATCGAAGAACTGTCATAAGTTTTCCTAGACCCATCAGTAAGACGTCTAAAACTCCCTTCTTTTACATCTACTATTTATATAAAACTACAGTAGCCTTCAGGTAGCGCTGAGCTCATTGCCTACTTTCTTTTGCAGATATTTTCTTACCTAATTCTTGCAATACTCACATGGAAAATCAATCCAGGTGCCGGCGTCAGACGACGTACATGCACGTACGAGAGTATATCCATCAAATGACCTTCACGGCTTGCCGCAAAGCACAAACTAAATTTAAAAATAATTTAATATATTACTAATAAGCTGTACTTATAATCCACATCATCCAAAGTGAACTCACCGTCCGGCCGCAAAAAGTGTACCATTCGCGCTACCAAAAGTGCTTACTGTCACACTGAGCGGCATAAGCCAAGCCATGGCGCCCAGAATGCGATTGCCAAAGGTTACGGCCACAGCTTCTGAATCGATCATTTCGGTGGGTGACATCGCCGCCAAGTACGAGATGTTGATGAGTGCATAGCACAGTGTCACCAAAGGTATGCCAATAATAATGGAACGTGGCAAATTCTTGCTTGGATTCTTGATCTCCTCGGTGACATAGTTTAAATTATTCCAGCCATCGTACGCCCAAAGGCCTGTGTAAAAAGCGGTCGCTATTGCGCCAATGGTGGGTGTGTCGCCACTAAATGCATTCGACAGATGTTGAGTATTGCCTTGGAATAGTTTCCAGGCGCCGCCGCAGATCACAATCAGGACGGCAACCAGCTTGGCAGCGGTGAATATATTCTGCACAGCCATGCCCAGATTCACACTATAACAATTCACGAACAGTATCATAACTATAGAGGGGCGGGTGGACGAAGGCGATGCAGGCAGAGGCATAGACGGAGGCGGAGGCATCGTTGTGGGACGTAGGATGGTTTTGTTTGTTTTTTGTTTTTTTTTTAATTTTTTTATTTTTATTTTATTTAGTGGGACGGATGAATGGATACAAAGAGTATACAATAGCCGGAATTGTTGAGGAGAAATATAGAGAATAATTTTGTAAAAAAAAATTAATAAAAAACTAGTTTAAAGAAAACTTTGTATGTTTGTGTGTCTGTGTGTAAATGAGTGAGTGTGTGTGGGTGAACGTTTTCTGCTTTCTTCTTTTTTGCTTTTTTTTTGTTCTTTGTTGGTTTTTGGGAAACATTCTTTGTTATTTTTTTTTTCTTCAAAAAGGATTTTCAGGATAAAAACACACAACTAAGCAAACGAAAGTGCATAAATATGTAGATATGTTTGCGCGTATATTATATGTAGAATTCTTACCAATTGCCAGCAGTGCAACCATTTTAACCACCGATGTTGGTGGATCACATTCGTTAACGAATGCCTCAACTGCATATTGAGCAAAGGAGAGACAAATTATAGCCATTTGCGATGGCTTCAGGACCAACGTCGATACCCATGAGAATAAAAATGCGGGAGCCGGACCAAACGCGTCCATAAAATATGCCCACTCAGCGCCAGACGATGTATTCATCGTACCCAATTCAGCATATGCCAGAGCGCCTGAAAGTAGATGACAAAAATATAGATATGGATTATGGAAAATATAGATAGGGATATCGACAAATCATGCTTTGAAATACGACTGTACGGGTAACTGCCGAAGATATGACGAAAAATTATAAAAGGCGACCACCTACTTTCAGCCAAAAAGGAGAAAAAACGAAATTGTCTTCGAATCGAAATACTTCTTTAGCAAAGGTTTGAAGCTTTTTGGCAAGCTTGAAGTTTTGACATTTGACATGGTACGCTAGGGTGGTAGGAACTGTGATCTGGTGGTTAAGTGCTAGAAGGATGTGCTTGAGAGCAACGAGCTTTGGAACAATAAAACGGTCCCCTCGAGACAAAAAGATCGACAAAGGTCACCCTTTGTTCGGCTAAAAAGATGTTTTCGAAATTGTTTTGCAAAAATACCTAAGACTCAGGTGTTCATATGTATGTATGTATGTATGTACATTAGGATGGTAAAAAAAATTAGACATCTTCAAGAACCGAAGAATATGGAAGATAGGGTGACCCGTATATTTTATTTAGATCTGACCATTGCATCATGAAGAATTTAACGGTAATCTTAAATTTTTATATGAGAATTAAAGGCGGTTTTGTTTTTTTTTTGCTTAAAAATTACTTGTATTAACCGACTTCAAACAAAATGAGAAGGTTCGTTTGAATATTTTTTATTTTTTTTTTTTGTATGTATGTTACCGCATAACTTAGAACCACGATAACCGATTCCTATAATTCTTTGTTTAAGGGAAGGTGGTACCTCAGAGGTACCCATATTAATTTGGTTTACTGTTAAATTTTTATATGAGGATTAAAGTCGATTCTGTTTTTTGTTTAAAAATTAGTTTTATAAAAAATTGTCAATTTCGGAAAAAGTTATAATGAATCTTTCTTATTCAAAGATTGCTTTATAAGGCTAAACCATCAAAAAATATAAGAATTGAATTTCCCAAAAACTGATTTTTTCCGCCAAATTCCCACTGTGCGCTGGTCTGGTGGCTAGCTCTAATTTAGGATTAGACGGTTAAAGGAAGCTAGAGAAGTCAGCGGATGCAATGAGATTCTGCTAGTTTTAGTACTGATAGATATTTTTATTGAAAATTCAGTCGCTGTCAGTGCAATAAAATTGTGGGCTTTAGGATAATGGAAAGAAAGACCATCAGGACACTGCCTACCGACTATATCTTACCAAAGACCTTGAACACAAACCTCGCACAACATTCTCAAGCTGCGGCTACTGGATTCGGCACGTGATTTAGTAGTTAGAAGGCATGGAAGAAAGAAAAAAGGTGCAATATTTCCATTGAGCATTTCAATTTTAAGCTATCCTGTCGCCTACCAGACCATAGAAGCGCTTTTCAGGCGGAAATGTTTGCAATTAATGACGCGGTGAACACTTTCTGAGTTAGCTAGACTGCCATTTAAACGCTCTTCTCTTGAAGAGAGTTGGCCTCGAATTCAGGTAAATTTGAAATTAACCTTATTTGAGTCCCAGGGCATATAGGGAAATAAGACTGTGGATGAACTAGCGAGGTAGATGCCGCTCTGCAGTAAATGTGTCCCATACAGTGGACATAGTCGGTGAAAATTGGAAATCAAAACTAGAATTATACGAATGCATTACCATGAAACTAAGCAAAGGTGTATTGTAAGAGATTACCAGACATAAGTGGAATACCTACGACCCGCTTGAAAGCTTGTCTCTGTTAGAAATGAGGAAGGAGAATAACTTCAAATTCACGGCTGCCCCGTAAAAGTACATTCCGAAAGGAGTGATATATGTACCTTCAAGGGTTTCTGTCATAGCTACAAAGTCCTAGGATCGAAGTGAAGCAGTAGCATAGAAAGTGGACATTGCTTATTTATTTTCACCAGATTAGCAAACCATTCTAACCAACAAAGCAACCATCGTAGTCCGATTTTCGAGAAATCTACGAAAAACCAATCATTTAATCTGAGAAATCGGACTACAGTGAATTCAGCAACAGTTCTTAATAACTCAAATGCTCGTAGTGAAACACGGTAATGGTGGTTATGGAAATGGTTAAGTTTTCTATTAGATATAAACTTTCACACTTGACTTTCAGCAATACTTTTAAGAGTGCTTCGGATATTACTTAGTTTAATAATAAAAAAAATAATACTCTCATATTTATCAAATTTTCAAACCAAACTTTCGTATTTCCTAACTCAGTGGATTTGTGATAGTTGTATTAACTACATATATTCACATACATCCCTTTATTTTGATAAATTCGTGCCTCACTGATTTTCAACAAATTGGTTTACAAGTGGCACACAGTTGACAAATGGGCGCCACAGCAAATCGCATTAATACATACTATTTTATTTTTTTATTTACATACATACTCGGACATACGTATGTATGTATGTACTATTTATGTATATGTACAAATATATATCCGAATCATGTAACATGGCTAGACCCCGACCAACAGCGAAATTATTGTCAACTTGCCAACGGAAAGCAACACATTGTTAGAATCCACAGGTTTACAGGTGCATTTGCTATACATATGTACATACATATTTATATCATTATGTATACTATACATATGTATGTACATACAAACGTGCATAGTACGAATGTATGTATGTAGTTATGCACTCGTATAAAGAAATATACGCAATTAATCATGTGCAACATGGCTGTATAAAATGCGACGTAAACAAATAAAGAAACGAAATCCAATGAAATGCATTTGTAGGCGGCGCAATGCCATAAATAATTATACTTAATACTCGTATACATACATACATATGTATGTACCTACAAAGTAATAAATGCTTTATAATTTGCACTTGCCATTTGTGGCTATTTTGCTGAACGCCGGCAATAAATTACATTGTGGGTGAAATTTGTCAATTTTTTTGTTCCGCTGCCGTTTGCAGCTCTATTAGAATTTATTAAAACAATCGATAGCAATATTAAGTCTCGCGTCGCTTTAAAATTTAATTCAATTAAAAATTTTAAGTTTAAATTGTACTTCAAAAAATTTGTCAACAACGTAAATCGTAAATTAAAAGTTTTACGTTATTTAATTTAAAAAAAAAGTTGGTTTTCACCAGGTTAAATTACTGTACAGTTGCACAAAAATATATGTTTGAATAAAAATTTGCAATAATATTCAAGGATAAAAACTTTAAAAGAAATTTCTGAGGTGTTCTACCAAAGATTAATTACAAAAAAAGTCGTTTTATACCCATATTTCTGGACGTTATTACCTTTTTTTTTTAAACCATTCTCCTTATTGAAACTTTAAATGTAGTCCCTTAAAAACATCGTGTAGTCCCTTGAAAAAACTAAAACACAGATTTGCTATATTTGCTGTAGTTTCGCGCATATATTGATTTTCTCATGTGTTAACAAAAAAAAATCAATTAAAAAAGTATAAAGCACGCTGATACTAACAGCGATGATCCTTGACCCCTATACATATGTTCTGGAGCATGAAGGCAGAGGAATGCAATTTGGTTTGCATAATACTATATTTTTGTAAACGATTGAAATGAAAAAGAACAGCATCGATATCCAAGGGTAAAAACTTTAAAGGACATTTTTGTACAATTTTAGATTTATAAGATTTTTTTGTAAACACTATTCTTGTTGAAACTTTAAGGTCGTTTTATATTCAAATAAGGCGTTTTATATTCAAATAAGGTCCTTTGTTTTGCTGTTATATGTACTAAGCCAAACCCATATAGTATAGGTCGCACTTTTATTTCATAACTTTCTTCTTAAAAGGTTATTCGATTTTTGGAACTTTAGATATTTTATAAGGGCTAATAAATTATAGAGACAAAATTTGTTGGTTTGCTTATAGTTTTAAAAATTAGGTGGAATACTTACCCAACAAGGAGAGCAAACCACAGGCCAGCCATATAATAAAGCTAACACCAACGGAACCAGTACGAACTAGTAGACCTGAAGGTGACACAAATATTCCAGACCCTGAAAGTTAAAAATTTTGTAATTGTTAAATGAGTAATGCAAACACCGAAAAATGTTACATAAGTACATACATATAAACGACAGGTATTACAATACATATACATAATTTCATACATACTGTAGTAGTCAGATAAAGGAAAGCTTCTTAAAAATTAGTGTATTCGTAGTAGTTTCGACACAAGTTTCCACCAAGAAATGTGGTTTGGGTGGAATTTTATACTTTAGTTTTAGTGAATTGGTATTGATTTATTGAAATTTAAACGCTTCTGAATAAACTAGTATCATGAGGGAATATTTCGCGACCTCGTTAGATGCTCTGTTTGGTTTGGCCATTTATCGCATTTTTTAAGATGACTCCCCGCTATGCCATAGGGCAAACTTCAGGCACACCATTAGGGTTAAATAAAAAAATTACAAAGAATATTGGAGCCCTTTTCTACTTTCGGTTCTCAACAGGTAACGGTATATTTGCATTAAAAGGACATACGCAGGCCCGGTAATAACGCAGAGATTGAAATCCGAGAGTGAACTGCTAAGAAACATGTGAATAAGGAAATACCCAGGAAGAAGGAAGCGGCAACAAATTTTAAAAACTGCCGCATTCTTCTAAACTCGATGACGGCTACGATTTCTGCTCCCACGAGGGAGACCCCAAATATTGATTACAACTTAAGTGTCCTTTTACTATTTTACCATTTTCACTAAATTTGTTTGTGAATTGACACTTTTTTTAAATGAATAAAAAATTTGTTACTCATACGCCATGTTGCCCAAGACCTTTATTTGAGAGTTTTTGCTAAGTCTAACCATTTTTTATAGCAAAATCGTATATTTGATGGCATTTGGCATTTGGTATTTAATTTTTAGTATTTTTGCTTGCTAATATTCTAACAAAAGTGGTGTTGGTATCATTTATCTGATCACTGCTCTAAATTTCCAAATCGAAACGAACTTTTTAATGCAACACTTTTCACATTTTTATTTTTTTTACTCCCTTCAAAATATTTTCAATCCTCTTCAAACACCAAACTAAAATATTCGAAATGTTCAAACTAACTAAATATTTTAATATTTCCCATAACTAGTGCATACTTTAATTAAATTCGACTTTGCAAAAACCTGTGGCAAGCCCAGGAAAAATATTTTCAAACTACAATCTTCTTAAACCCCTTTCGTCTTATATCCATATTGTGATACATATCTACATATTTCGCTTAATACATATATTATAATTTGATTTTTAAATATATGGCAACCCCCTCCTTGTAGCTTAGAAATAAATCCTTTTCAAAATCATTTCCATTGATATCCATATTCATTTATCTTAAGTTAATAAATTTTTTACAGGTGGCAACCCTTTTCATGTCCTAACCTACTATGTAGGTATAAACCTTCTACTCGCCAAGATGAACACATGTTTCCGCAATCGCAACCGCAATTGAAGATGGTGTGCGATATGTACGTATATACATATATACATATATTTGTTGTCATATTTTAGTCATTAGGACGCTCGGCCTGGAGATAGTATAAATCGATTTCAACCAGATTTAAAGTATTGAATACCCATTAAAAGATTTTATTACGAATGAAATTATTTTTCAATTGAAGGTGGTCTGGTCTACTTATTCAGACATATTATTCAAGTAAATAGAATAAGCACCAAAAAAAAAAATACACTTAAGCGTGAACTTCTCTCAGTCAAATCTTCCTTCTTTCCCTTCTTTCGGCAGAAAAAAAAATCGCTAAAGCATTCTTCTTGCATTTATTTCAGTCAATGGAGTTCCAAACACCATTAAAAAAAATAATCAAGTATTTGCCTTAAAACGTTTATTTAGGCGAAAAAGTACCGAAATTATGCATTTTTTTATTGTCACTGGAAAAAATCATAATTTTTTATTTAATAATTTTGGTAAGTTTTCAAAAAGAATGTTCATATTGGAGGCAATGCACATTGGCATCAAATACAACATATCTGCGAAGTTTCAAGAATGCACGACGAAATTTAAAAAAAATGGTGGCATGCAGAATATCTGTCGCAGCTATTTTGTAATTTTTGAAATTTTACGATTTTTTTCATTTTAAAAGCTTAAGATATTTCAAAATGTCAACATTAAACGGTGAAAATGTTCTTCTTACCAAAACGAATGAATCTAGTTTAATAAGACTGGTATCTCACTAAATGAAAAAAAAAATTTGAGTAAAAGATGACAGATTTGAGAAACTAAAACTCGATTTTTACAATTTCTATTGGTGCACTCGAAATTCAATCTAAAATTTTTACCTATATGCATGCAGAAAGAAATATATATGCGCAAAAATCTTAAAAGCCAATATTTAATGTTAGATGATTGTGTCTGGTGCTACGGCGCGTATACTTTACATACGCAACTACGGGTATATGAGCATGAGTGGTTATTTTTACAATTTCGCTATGGAATCATGTTCTTTATACAAAAGATAATGCATTTTCTAAGAGAGGTGTACCACCATTTTCGACCAAAAATGCCTTTTTGTCGAAAAATATAACAACTCGTGAGATTTGCTAATATTCATTTCGGTTGCTTGTGTGAATCTGGATTAAAATTGTTTCCACATACGTTTTTATATGAAAATATCTACACACATGCATACATGCACGTTTTTATACATGCATACAATATGTATGTAAGTGTATGTGATTGCATGAATATCATGTATTTCACTTTTACATTCCATTATATATTCACATTTATTCCTCCTTTGGCGCCACTTATAGCCTATTACCTGACACGCAATTCGAGTGTGCCATATAAATAAGCAGAAAGCGGAAAATGTAAATACTTAATAAAAAAAAATTTACTAATCTACATATCGCTCCTTTACTTCAATAGTAACACAACTCAAAAAAATAAATAAATCTCGAGAAAAACGGCTATAAAATTTTGAATTTATATATCAAGGGCTTATATTCAATATGGATGAATGGTGTTTCGTTTTTAATCTTTACAATGTTTTTCAAGCAAAAATTTTTTTGATATTTTTTATAAAAATATGGTTCATACTTTAACAAAAACTATATAAACCGCATTTTCAAGTTTTTTGCAGAACTTGGAAAATTTTTTTAGATTTTTTTGGGTATGCAGTTAACAAGTTTATAAAATTCTAGTAAAATAAGTGCAAGTTTTGAGCTAAAAATCGAATTGATTTTTAATAATTCTGGTTAAAAAGCTCGAAATTTAGATACAATTTTTTGTAAATTCATTCATTTTTGACCTCCACTGTATCTGCAGTTTTTACAAAAATAAGATTCCTATATAAAAATCGACCTTAGACTTAACTGTCACCGATGATGTTAATTTTCGCCTTGTATATTGCGTGTCAGAGGAATTGACTATTGACTTTCAAAATTTTTTTTATCCATTTTTGACCGCCACTGTATCTGCAGTTTTTACAAAAATAAAATAAGGAATTAACTATTGAATTTCAAAATTAAAAGTGCAGCCAGTGATGACAGTAAAATCTCAGATGAGTTCTCACATCAGAAAGTAGTTTTTGTATAAACTGCAGATAGGTCTTAATGAATATAAGCAGTGTGACCAGGTTACCCTTTTTGAGGCTAGATTTGGCAGTTAATTTTAAGCCATAGCCCCCGAATTTTCGGTCTCACTTCGTGGCTTTTTTTTGGCTTACTTACTTACTACTTAAAATATTCATAGTAAAATTCGGACCGGAACTTATAAAAATAATTACCAAATTAAAAATACTTGATATTTCAAAAGACCACTGTTTACCGTCCAAATTTTGCAGTAACAGAGAAAAGTACCATTTCTTTGAGAACATACTTTCTTAGGTTAAAAAAAAAATAGTACTACGAAATTTGCCCTAAACTGTATTTTTGAAACAATTGATTTGTTGGCGTATTACTAGTGCACTCTAATGTAGAAAACAATCATATTTCTATTCCAAAAATTTGTTTGGTTTTTCGTATCCTAAACTGAACTCCATTCCGAACACCTTAAAGTAATGCAGCTGTTATTAACCTGAATAGGTTATTCTGTATTCTGATGGGAATGATTTAAAAATTTATTGAAATAAAATCGGCTTCGCGGAACTTATCGAGTTGGCGAAGACTTTTAAATGAATGAATATGCTGACTTCTTTTTGACTTCATCTTTCACCTTCATCTAACCTTTACAAGTGACGGCCTCTGCGGCTGAATGGCGTACTACCATTCCGTAGAACCTGTGTTCGATCCCGGCAGGCAATGGCAAATCTCGGAGTGTTTTTCTGCCAAGAAAAAGCTTCTCATAAAAACCAATTGGCGTTCGGAAACGGCGTAAAACTGTAGGTCGCTCCTTTTGATTAGCAACATCAAGACGCACACCACAAATGCGGGGAGAAACACGACAAAAGACTTGGCTAAAGTGTAAGCGCCAAAATATTATTTTTCATAACCTTTACGTAGTAGATAAATATTTTGGCGCCAGCCAACCGCTCTTGACACCAAATGAATTTTCATTGGTTCTCTAACATTTTTAGTGCTACATCCATAAACAATGGTAAATTTATTTAAAAAAAAAAAAACATGCTCAAAATAAAATATGTGACGATATAAATAGGATGAAGAAAATCAGAAATAAATACAAAACAAAATAAATATAAAGCATTTTATGGAGGCAATCGACTGAGAGCAGGGTCATGATGATCTTCAATTTGGTCCATGTGTTCTTGAAAAAATATACAACGTACAACAAAAAAGTTTAATTTTTTTTTTAGGTGTGCTGTTTATTGCACTAAATTGGCGTGAAAAAATGCACGCACGCCGAAAAGTACTATGTATTTATATACTTACATATGCACTTTAAACTAAGTAAATATGTATGTACATTAGGGTGGTCCAAAAATAGTGAAGTCGGAATTGTAATGCTCTCACCCCCTAGGATTGTTCTATATCGAAAAAAGTATACCCCATTTTTTATTTTGAAATCAAAAAATATTTAGAGGTCGCTCACAGCGCTCAAAGTTTTCCATGTATTTTTATATCGAAAAAATAAATTGTTTCGTAGAAATGGTAAAGAGTTCTTGAAAGTCAATATTTTTCGATCGGAGAACTCGGGTTCTCTTCAGGAGACTTTCAATAATAATACCCAATTGTTTATTTAACCATTGTTTTAATATTAACGATTTTTTATTTTCCCCCCATTTCATTTTTCGGAGTTTTTGGCGGACTTATAAATTATAGTTGCAATGAAAAAATGGTTAAATAAACAACTGGGTATTATTACTGAGAATCTCCTGTAGATAAACAGAGTTTTCTGGTAGAAAAATATTGATTTTTAACTATTCTATACCATTTCTACGAAAAGTTGTTTTTTCCCATATAAAATACATAGAAAACTTTGGGCGCTTTGAGCGACCTCTAAATATTTTTTGATTTCAAAATAAAAAAATAAGGGTATATTTTTTTTGGTATAGAACAATACTATGGGATGAGAGCATAAAAATTTCGGCCTTACTTTTACACTTGCATTTTTGGACCACCCTAATGTTGTTTTATATAAAGAATCATATTTGCCCACATGACTGCCTGGGTATATACTTCTTAGTACAGCTGCCTTTAAAATTAGATGTAAATATGAAGTTATGTACATAAGTATGTATTTACTTGACACACCCATTTTTCTAATCAGTACTATATTATGAATGAGTATATGTTTTTTAGTATCGAAATTTTCTAAAATTTTAGGCAAAGTCATGGGATCGACTAATTTGCTACATATTTGTATTTTTTTTTTTTTGCTTAGCTTGCCAAAACACCTACGCATGAAAAAGTATAAAACATTTTTAGTATGGATACTGATTTTGCGTATGTGATTTTCTTTTTTTTATTGCAGCTTTCGTTTCTACGATTTTCTTTCTCTTATTTTCCTATTATTTTTTTTTATGTCTTCAACATTTCATGTCCTAATTTTACGCTATTTGTTTTAGCTTTTGTCTTAGCAAATATATGTAAATTTAAATGTTTCGAAATGTAAAATAAAAGTATTTTTAACATGCGAGGTAAGTTAAGGTGATAAGAATTGAGATCTAGTGGGTAAGTACTAGAACTGAGGCCAATGAAGTTTGCAACAAAAAAAAATGTCTTCTCGAGACAAAATATATCCCCTATTTTCGTACGAATTTAAATCATAAAATTTCCTATCATTTTCTATACAAAAATTTAAAATTTACGACTCATAATGACGACAGCCGAAAAAATAAAATAAAAAAGTGCCTTGCGAAAACATTTTTGACTTAGGGGTGCACGGCCAATTTTTTCCTCGTACGGTCTAATATACCTACTCATAGAAGCACCAATAAAAATGTTGATAAATAACAACTTTTGTTGTGAGTAATTCAATGGAATTCAACTTCAAGATACAAAATCGAACTTGAGCCAGATGCCTTTGCTTTTCTGCTTTAGGTACATATTTTTATAAATCCATTTTGTTAATTAAAAAAAAACTCGATTTTCAGAGCAATTCTCAAATAGGCTCAGCAAATATTTTGGGGTAAGTCTTAAAATATAATAAATGTTATACTTACAATGGTCAAAACATTACAGATTTTTTTATATGGACTCTAATATACATATGTACATATAAAGTGTGGCCATATCTGTTTAGAATATCATTTAAATAGTATTTTGGCTCCTGATAGGTTTGCTAGTTATTTTACTAGGTACATATATTCCTAATATTTTATACCTAATGTTTGCAAGACCCGGTCATACTACTGATACACTTTTTAAGCTCGTCCAAGGTCTTCCTAACGCGGCGTTAGCGCCGAGCAAATAGAATTCTAATTTTTCTTAGGGCGTTACGTGTTGAAGTTAGATGCAGAAGACGGAAAGAAAGAGAGAGCAGAAAAAAGTGAAAAAGGACACGAGAATGTCAAAAAATACGCCATGTTTATTTGGGTATAGCGCGCGCTGGCACTCGTTGGCTTTGAAAAACGCAACGCTTACCGCCCCAATTTAGGAACGTGTGTGAGCGGTAATTTATTATACCTGAGCACCTGTTTCGAGCAAGCCCAAGAAAATGCACAACCAAAAAACTAGACCATCTATTTCCTAAGCAATTTTTTGCGCTGAACTCAAATCCTAACCTAAAGATAGGAAAATGGCAATTTTTGGCAAAATTTCGATAACTTACATATGTAATCGGAAATACATTTTTTCGAATGTTTGCACACATTTTACCTTAAAGTGCACTCCTTCGCCTTTAAAAATCTTCTTTATTGGTTCATTGTCGATTATTCCTCGCTGAGATATAAAAATTTAATTTGAAGTAATGCATATTCAAAATGGCGGACCTAATACGGTAGCTCCAATCGCATACTTTACCTTGCGTGCTGGAGCAATTCCGTCACCGGATTTGGATTCAGCGAAAAAAAAGTCATGATAAATAAATGTTTTTGGTTCTGAAAATTGTTGGCCTGTGCTATTCTAAGAACTTAAGGAAAATGAATACACTCTTCACGCCTTTTTGGATATTGAAGGAGTCTTGAACAATGCCCGAATGGAGGCGATAAGCAAGGTAATCTCTGAGCACAGCATTCAGCGCCCTATGGTGGCATAGATTGACTCCATGCTCAAGAACAAAATTATTAGCACAACCATAGACACAGGATCTGTGTGAAGGAAAATCAATAGGGGCGCGCCTCAAAGGATCGTATTATCCCTCTCCTCTGCCTCTTGGTAGTGAACGAAATTCTGCAGAATTTTTAGCAAACTCTTGTCAACGATAGGTAAAGTAATGGATGGTGCACTGGATGATATCTCTTGGTAGGCAACCAGAATGGATTTGGGGTTACCTCCTCCAAGACAGAACTGGAATTGTTTACTAGGAAAACAAAAGTACCCACATTTTCTCTGCCGAAATTAGAGGAAACTACTTTGAATCTCTCCTCTCAGGCAAAATACCGCGTAATCATTTTGAACTCCAAGTAGAATGATAATAGAAAAATAATGTAGAGGAAAGAGCTAAGAAATCTATAGCAACATACTACATATCACCGTATCTATGGGATGAACGCCATACTCATCAGACCAATTGCAACCCATGGGTCCTTAGTATGATAAAGGGCTCTAGACAAAGGGAATAACAGTAAAATAACAGGAAAAGTGCAAAGGTCCGCATGCATTGGCATATCGGGAGCCTTGAATATAGCCTAACATGATGTTTCACCGCAAAAAGCGCCCTCAGGCTCAGAGAGCCCAATATGAGGAAGGAAACCGATTTCGGGCATGCAGCAATACTGAATGAAATAAAAAGAGACCGGTTCAATAGAATTAAAGCTGACGTAAATGCCAGCACTCATTACATTACGCTTATTTGGGACTTCAATACTAAGTTACCTATTAGGTAACCGACCAGAGGTATATCCACATACACTGATGGTTCAAAGATAGCACAAGGAACCGGTGCCGGTTTCTACTCGAAGGAACTTTGCCGATAGTCAAGCAGCACTAAAGGCAATATGGTCTAAAGTAGTGAAAACGGAAATTGTATGCAAATTTCGCATCCCGCATGGCATCAACGTCACTCTATGCTGGGTCCCCGGACCTAGCAATATTGCAGGGGTATGAGTCGGTTGATGAGATGACCAGATGCGGTTCAGAGATGCCAACATAGGATAATTGAATACTCCGTGGCCGCGACTAATGTTCTATGTAACAAACGGGAGAACGTGAGGTCACAAGAGTGCTATGGACGCGGCTTAGTATGAAAAAGACGAGGGACGTACTTAAACTCAATAGGTATGCAGTAAAAGATCTTGATAGCGTCATCACAGGTCACTGTGCTAGAGCACCAACGCTCCAACGATGGCGAATACCAACAAGTACTCTCTGCAGAAGCTGCCGCGATGAAGATGAGGACGAGTCAATTGACTACTTTGAGCGCAATTTCATTTTACATTCCTTAAGCAGCTTATATTTGTTAAGCTGGCCACTATTCCATATTTAAGCTTTTACAAGTTTCAAGGATACCTTGAAGTTACGCTTGGGAGAAGCTTGAATCAATAACGAGTTACTCATAGTAGACACTGGCAACTACAACGCATTCATTTTGGATCCGTCGGAGTAGAGAAAGGTAGCTTTTCTTCGGCTAGTCGATCTTTTCTGCAATCTCTTCTCTTTTTTACGGGAATCGTACGTGTGTATTACAATTGAAGTCAACATTTTCTATATATATATATCTGTCGTCTTTCCTAACTGCATTTCCCATATCCGAAATTTCTAGTCTCTCATTGACTTGACTCTCAGGTGAAAATCTAAAGACTGAAGGTGAAGATGGATAGATATTAGATTGAGTATAGCATTTAGTGCTGTTGCCAACGGTCGTTGCTTGAGCTCATCTACTCTTTTGCCAGAGTGCCAGGCCACTTGCTCAATTTAGTGAATACCACTAATATATTATTTATTTAGGTCAGGCCACCAAAGCAGCAAAGCATATATTCGAATTGATCTTATGATAATGGTATATGTAGGTACTATTTGCATACAAAATATTTTACATAAAATAATTTAGTTAAAATAAATTCTCACTTACCTATCATGGTCCCGACAATTAAAGCCACCCCACTGAAGAGTCCCACCCGTCTCTGGAGGTGAATAGCGTCGTTCGGCGCTGAGCCCTTCCTCTCCAACGACTTCCGCATCCCCCCGGTCCCTGATGAGTCGGTCTCTGTTTCGGGCCCTTCTGCCCCAAGAGACCCATTGGTATCCGTTGTCCCGTTGCTCGTGACTTTAATTGGCACATTATGTCCTTTTTTTGAGTAATTTTTTAACATTATTTTTTTCACAATATGCGAATAACGCGAAATTGAAATAAATGAAAGAGAAAAAAGAAAAGAGTCACAATTAGTAAGATTTCAACAGAGTATGTACGAGTATTGCATAGTATCTATAGGAAATCTAATATTTTTATTCTAATAGTCTTAGTTTTAAGTTGATATTTCAGGTATTTAGGCATGTACATTTTTTTGGTAATGAAATTTTAGGCATGTATATTTTTTGGTAATGTAATTTTTTATTTTTTTTTTATGTACATATTTTCATTTTGCAATTTAATTTTTTTTTTTTTTTTTTTTTTTTTTTATTTTTTTTTTTTTTTTTTTTTTTTTTTTTTTTTTATATTTTATTCAATTTAACTTATTTTTTTTTTTAAATTTCCTTAGTTATTGGGTTCAGGTTAATGTCATTTTATTTTATAATGCTTTAATTAATTTTCCATAATTAATGTTAGCTTTTTTATTTTATTTTATTGCGTTTTAATTTTGCATGTGGTTCTCTTTTATTTATTTATTGAGATTATACTAAATTTACTTTTTTTATTTTATTTAATTTGTCGTATTTTTCACTTTATTTTATTTTACATTAGTTTATTTTTTTTTTCATTTTATTTTACTGCATTTTGTTTAGTTTCATTTTATTTTAATAATTTTTTTTTTTATTTTATGTTGCTTTATTTTTTATTTTTTTTGGTTTTATTATTTATTTTTTGTTATTACTTTTACCATTTGATTTTATCTTTGCTATTTATTGTGGTTTGCTTTGTTTAATGTTTTTGTCACATTTCTTCTTTTACGTTTAACATTTTTTTTGTATTAAATGCGCCAACATTTTTTGAAATCAGCGCCTTTCTAGTTGGAAATCGCGGCATTAAATTTATTTTTAGAATAAATTAACCAATAGAAAAAATTGAAATGCGAGTATATAGGTGGCCAAAAAACACACGCACACGCATCTCTTATAAAGTACATAAATGCATAAAAATGTAGGTATGTTCACACATATAAAAAGAGTATACATATGTATATAGCAAATTCGTTATTGAACACACACCTCTATTATCTGTTGTATTATTTTTGCATGCGTTCTTTTGCAAGCAAAATAGTTGTGTGATTTTATCGCGCATGGCATGGACGGATAACGAATTTTACAAATTATTTCGCCGCAAATATCGACTACGAGCAAACGACGACAACGACGGATTTCAGCAGACTGTTCGCCTATTTTAGCCGCAAGTTCAACTATGCCTCGACGAGACTCGAGAATTTGGCGCCTGCTATTGTGGGATATGGTGATGATGATGATGATGATGATGATTCGGATGCTTGAAGTCCGACGAAGAATCACAGACGTTAGATGCTGCTTACTGACAGTCAGTTAGCTGTGAGAATGCACGAAGTGGGCAAACGAAGATTACAAACGAAAAAAAACTAGGATGCCGATGCTGTGAATAATTTAGCTTTAGTGCTAGGCAGCAGCAGCAAAAGTGACAGCGGATGCCGGGAAAATTGTCAACCGAAGCGGATGAGCAAGGCCGAACAACCGGCAAGTGGGCTTAGTGGGCGAGTGGCAGGGTGGGTGCAGTATTCGGTGAATTTCGCGAAAACAAAAAACTAAATGCTCGTAGGCCACACGATTTATTTTGCAAGTAGGTACTGTGGCGCACTGACTGATGCTAAAAGCCTTGGCGAACAGAATTTTAGATATACTCAGAAGTATGTGAATGTGGTTCGAACAATCTTTTTCACACTTTGCGCGGCGCTTTGCAGCTATTTTTTGGCTATGTATGTATTTATATTTATTTTGTTATTTTCTTTAGATCTCTATAAGTCAAAGTGAGTTTATAAGTATACGTAGCGTAGGTATGTATGTATGTATGAATGTATGATTGTTCGCACACTCCAGCGATGTAAAGGTATATGCAATAGTACAATGACGTATTTCGCACAGCGTCAAAAAATGATGCAAGATTTTTAAAATATTACACACTGATTGCGTTGGTAAAAATTTCTGTATGTAAACTCTTGTTTGTCTGTATATATGTTTAGATACATATAAATTTTTCTTATTTTTGCTGATCTATGCTCTTGAAATTTCCTCCACGGTGAGCACGGGAGAGCACTGAAGATATTCTTAAGTTTGTGTGCCGCTGAATTACATATATACACATATAGTATGTATAATCTTGCTTGCTACGTCACGTATGTATGTAGTTCTGTTGCAAAGTTTTTTTTTCTTTAGTGTTTATGTGCTTAATATCTTCTTTTTTTTTTTGTTAAAATCTCACTTTTCAGGCCATGAAATTATTTAATACGAATTCTTATTTATTTCTTTTGTGCTTGGTTATTTAGTTCTTTCACACTCTGTGGTGAAGTAATTTCATTCGAGATAAATTTAAATAATCATTCTGTGGTCATACGTTTTTTTTTTCTTCTTTTCTTTTTTTCGCTTTTTGCCAACGGCTAGATTGTTGTTATATGAATTGGCTTCTTAATTTTTCCCATTCAGCACGTACAACAAATGTATCTAGTTTTCCTATTTTAGTTTTATTTTATTTTTTTGCACTTTCTTTCTCTTTGTCAAAGCATATCTTTGTAAGTTCCCTCAAATGTATTTTTCATGTAAATTTCCATGTCTGTTTTTCCATTGACACAGTTTTTAGCAGTTTATTATATATTTCTTAGCGTACGTCTCACTGCACTTTTTCTCAACTGTTACGTATTAAATAGAACACTTTTGTGACATATTTTTACACATTCCCATACACTTATGTATATACATAAATATTCACACCCATAGCTCGGCTATGCATTCGTTGAATAAGTTCTTACAACTGAAACTGTAAATTTGCAATAATTGGTACAAATAACGAATTCTTCATCAGTCAGAAACTCTCAACTGTAAAAGTGCTCGAGTGATTTTTCACATGTTTTCATTTTATTTTTATTTTTTTTGTTCGATTTGGGCAGTTGCTGCCACACAAATGTACATAGAAACCCTGCAGGGAAAGCTACTTGTTGTGAACTAAAATGTTACCAGTTTGCGGCTCATCCCAACTAGTTCACGTTCGCTCCTTTTTCAATGTTAGCTACTGGTATTTTTGAAATGTTCATACCCTTCGAGATGTTAATTGTCTGTCTATGCATCAGGATCTACCAGTAGAATTACTAGTAGCATCATACCAGTTGATGGGATAGGCATAATTATGCTATTTCCTCGCGGCGCTGCAACAGTCGCAGTTCAAATCTCAGACAGAGGATTTTTTTATTTAAGTTTTTTATTGTAATTTTTGAATTAATTTTTGAAAAAGAAAACTATTATTTTTAAATTCATTAAATTTTTAAGGCACAAGTATTTCTATACAAGTATATGTTTCTTCTCAAATGAATTTAGATTTGCAAACTTGTAGTTTATATTTAAATTGATATAATTATATAAACTTCAACTGATTTAATTTGAAAAATCTTAACCACCTACAAGCGGACGCCAATCTGCGACACCCAAAACTCAAAAGCAGATGTCGCAGATTGCATAAGTGGTTTTAAATTGGTATGCCATCGGTTTAGCTCATACTAGTTAATGAACTGGTATTTTTACTGATGAGTTTGGTTTTTCATGCAGGGAACATATGACCATATTTATTATATACACGTTTGTATGTATGCATATGTACACGAGCATGAGTTGCTCGTATTCTTCTTGGACTTCCACGTTTTTCATTTGAGTAATTGAGTGGATCTTAATAGGCGGCTCTTCTTCGTCATACAAAATTCAATTGAATGGTTTGAGCGAAATTTTTGCCAAGTTTTACTCAATTGGGACTTAATAATGTTTTATTAAGTTGATTAATACACATGCAGTCGGCTTGCCATTACACACATTTATATATAACAAATATAAATATGTACTCTTATATATCATATAAAGTACGTTTTACAATTATATACCGTCATATATGCCTCAACCCTTCAATGGTGTGATGGGGTAGTCATATGTATTTATTGTATTAATTTCTATTGTGTTTTTATTAATTGCAATTTTATTGTATACGAAGGAGAATTTGTTATGTTTTTTTTTTAGAGCTTATTAAAAATTAATCACCACAAAAAATTACGGTTTCTGCAATTTGGTGAGTATGTGAAAATAATGCGCATGGGGTATGTCATACCCCACCACACTACTCAAGGAACTTTTAGTCACCAACGCCGGGTTAAGGAGGCTTAAAACGCTGCCCAAATCGGTTTTTTATTGGCGATTCAGCAATAGTTTATTTATTGTTCTATTGTTTTAAATTATACCTTATGTCCGTACACACATACATAGCTACCTTCTATTTGATTTCACTTTACATAGTTATATATGTATCGTAATTTGCTTGGATATGGGAATGGAGTAAAAACAGCTATTTTTTCTTACCTATTAAAAACCGTTTGGTGCTCTGCTTTCATATATTTATTTTCTTTGAACTGAATAGGCAACTGACAAAAAATACTATGTTTATTTACAGCGGTAATATGACCGCAAAGCTTGAGTCAAGTATGTATAAAAAATCAGACGCAACTCACTTTTTGTGAACTCATTTTTGACTAATCCGAAAAACTAATCCAAATGTATCAAATTCATAATAAATAATATTGTTTACATACATGCACAAACATACTTATGTACATATACCGACAGACATATGTCAATTTGTATGTGCAAGTAATTATTAGGGTTATTGATTCGGTTTTTCCAGATTTTAACCGGTTTGTTTTTTTTTTTAATTCAAATCCTTTTTTCGAAATCTTAATTTTTCCAATACCGTATTAAGCGGATTTTTACAATCGAATAAACCGGGTTCAGAATAAAAAGCCTATGATAACAAATACAAACAACGTGAAAGTAAAAATTTATCTTCAACTCATCGTTAAAAAGTTTTAAATTTTGTTGAAAATGTTTCGAATTTTTCTAATTTTTGTACAAAGTTGAATTTACGTGATATTAGTTATCTAATGAGATAGAATTTTATAAAATCTAATAAACAAGAGAAAAATACCCAAAACGGGTCAAAATGTCGTTAACCTATTTGCTTGTCTACAAGAGTACATATAATAATAAATAAGTTATGAATCACTGAGGTTTTTTTTTTAATTTCAAAGAACTTCCGTAAACATATAACAAAGATAGTGTCAACTTTCATTGACTTAGTTTTAACATTATTAGATAAACACAAAAAGTGTTGAAAAAAGCTTATTGAGATATGCGTACGTACATATGTATGTATGTATGTACATTAGACCGTACCACCTTACAAGCAAAAAAAGAGTTCGCCGTACACCCCTGAGTCTAAAATATTTTTTCAAGGAAATTTCGAAAAAAACAATCTACCCCTTCATTACTGGATTAATCAAAATACTTCTTTAGCAAATTTTTAACGATTTTTTGTGAGCATAAATTAACTTACACTACATCCTTAGCAAAAGTTTAATCAGTTTTAGTGAATTTTAATTTACTGGCATTGGGTTGGAATTTCAGGATTGGTAGGAACTGAGATATTGTGGGTAACTGCTATAACGAGAAACTTGAGGTCAAAGACATCCGACTGTAAAGAACGTAGATATAAAACAAAAAAATTAAAAGCGAAATTTACTTACAAAAATACTTTAGACTCAGGGGTGTATGGTGAAATCTTTTTTCTGATACGGTCTAATGTACTTATGAATAGTATACATACATATCTATAGTTTCGTGTATTTTCTTATCAATTACTTTCAAAACTATTGCCAAATTCTAATGAAAATAATTTAGAATTTTTCGTACGAATACATCATATGTTCATATGTATAACGCTTAGTACGTATATTAAAAGGCCGATTACTCAATGCCTGGTTAACACTAACAGCAAGTCAAACGTCTTTGTCGACGTTATCGACTGCCTATTATATGTTATGGAGTTGGTAACGATGTTTAACCTGCAGTTAGTGTTAACTAGAGATTGACTAACAGGCCCTAAATTAGTTAGGTATTTACGAGCTTTATATTTGGTTTTGCATATTTCTCAGGACGGGGTATTTCTACTGACTACCTTGATTTAGTCAGAAATTAATTATTATTCATATTTATGATTACCTGACTTCAAAATGGAAGAGATAAAATTCGACGGAATATTTTTTTATATACAAAATATGTTAAAGGCAAATCAGTATACGTAATTTAGCTTCAACAACTCGGATAATTAGCAATAAGCCAAAAATATACCTGGGCACAAATATGCCAGCAGTATCGTAGATAGAATACTTACTCGCCAACAGAAGGTGATAAGTTTGTGGTATATGATTTTTTAAGTGTTTTCATGAAACTTATGTCAAAAGAAGTAGAAATGTTTTATATGCCCTGGATCTTTAAATTTTGTTTATTATTGTCTTCTTTTCACTCGCCTTAGCTATTTGCACTTGAGATAGCAATCCGTTAAAAATATTTGTAACCAGATGTATGTATGTCTGTATGCACAAAAATCTGCTATCAAAAATCAATGCAATAAATGTTCATTCTCTTCATGGTGGCTTTCTTGAGAGAATTGACGTCAAATGATTTGAAAATATTTCTTATACTTGTTACCAGAATAAGAAGGTTTCTTTCGACAACGGATTTTGGTAGAGACGACCGATTAGAAAAACAAATATACTGTATGTATATCGGATTTTAGGAGACAAGTGTATATGGAAGAAATATTTTTTCTTAAATTTCACTATAGGTCACCTTACAAAAGAAAGCAGTAGATTCAATATATACACTGCCACTCAGCAGAATATATTCAACATGATTTTCAACTTTTTTTTTAAATTTAAAGAACAATTGTCCTTAGTTGTGCGTCTTTTATTTGTTAAACTTATTTGCAATCATCTAAACCTCGACTTTGACCTAAATTATTGAAAAATATTGTACAATTGCCACATGCCCATTTTAGCTAATTTATTTTTAACTAGTAGCATTTGGCAATCGGAAGAGAAAACCACTGACCACGAGGCAATAAAACTAATTACAAATAATATCAGATTATTAAAACAATTGTATGGTTTCTATTTGGAGGTCTGGAAGCAGCCACGCATAACTTTTTTTTTACATTTTGGGTGTACATATTTATGTGAGAACGTTAATAGATACAAAACAATTTCAAATAGTTAAAATGATAGAAGTTTTGTGCATGCACAAAAATACCTA